ATAACAAAATTGAAATTTGATAAGCAGTTAACTATTACAACTGAGATATATAAGAGTAAGAGTAAGAATCCAAATTGAATATAAATATGTTTCCTATTATGCGAAAGATTATTAATAAGTTATTAATAAAATGGGTTTCAATGAAAATCAGACAATTCAACCCATAAATTTTAAAATAAAAAACTTAACAAAATCTAACAGTTGATGGAGTTTCGTTCTTTGAGCTGGATGGTTTGGTCGCAGAGATTTCATCCTTCTGAACCACCAAGTCATCCAGTTCAGAGAACAAAACTCCATCAAAAATATAGTTCTTGTCTTATTATTTACAAACGTTATTTAGTCAAAACCGTATTCAAAAGAATAGAAAGTTGTGTTCAGCCTACGAAATACAGGATTCGATGGCATACCTTGAAAAGTGCCGTATAAAAATTGGATATCCAAAGAAATGCATTACGAAGTCCGGAAAAGTGATTACGGAATATCCCAAATAAACAGCCGTTAACCGAAAATTCGTTGTCATTCATCGTAGATTGAAAGGTGAAGAGATTTGAAGAAAGATCGATTAAAAGATTCAAGCAGTGCTAAAGGGAAGCTTCCTAACTATTTCCGGTGTTTAACACCAGATATTCTTTAAATAAATTGAGAGTGGGTCAGTACCCTTTAAAAGTCACCTCTAAATATATTTACGAATTTACATTTACATGTGGAAGCAAGTACATGGGAAGAATTGAAAGAATGGCATCCAAACTGCTTTTCAAATATACTCACAGTAATTTGAGTGTAAATGAAAATAAAGTATTCAGAAGGACGATCACTAAACATTTAATGCATAATCAGCACAACGTGAGTGTCTTACATAATTTTACAGGAAATGTACACCGCTTTTTAGAAGTCAATGACACCAAACACTTTCGACTTAACCTTAATACATTAAAGGAAAGCGTGGTAAACTTTTTATTCTCATTGGTAATATGTATTATTTCAACGCTCGTTAGTTACATTATTTCTTCATTATGGTTTATAAATCCCACTGACATTCATTCAAAACGTTAACTTGAATGTTATGTTAAACAGATGTCTTGATTTTTGTAATTCATTGTCTCTTTATTATCACTTATAACTTGTGACCTGAGTGCCCTATTAATGTTAACGATACCACCAATTAGAGAGCAGTGAATTGTCGATCGAACCAATGACGCGTAAACCCATATGAGCAGTCTAGATTCCTGATTGGTCCTGCTTCCCACCTAGCCCAGCTAGTTAAGTCCAGAACACCAATCTCAGCCTTTGCAATATGAATCATTTATTTCAAGCATACTGGGTTTATATACCAACCAGACAGACCATATCGTACCAATAGAATAGGAAACAACATTTGTACAAAATTTGGCCAAATGTGGCTGTGATTGTGGGAGGTAGTAATTAATAAACAGGGCATAATTCAAGAATGGTATATAGTATAATAATAGTTCATAGGTCAAAATAAAGCTCACAATAAGATGGACATGAATATGAATAGTTTAGTTAATTAACAATTATACGATAAAAATATATGTATCGTATTGGTCCATAAATGGATCCCGAAAGTTACCATTCATTATACTTATCGGGGCATAATATAACTTCATTCACTACTCCCTTTTTCATGATTCCATTTACGGCATATATACTAATCAATCTTAACTATTATGTTAAACATGTTTTTTTGCTTTAGTTACTCATGTCTTTTCCAACTAAACTTAATTGATTATGGTAGAAAATAAAAAAATTTTTTTTACAGAATAATCACATTAACCCTATGAGTATTCTTAACTAATCTTTATATACTATAATTTTTAACGATACAGTTATAATAAGAAAAATCTTTTCTTTTTTTTTAACAGTAAGGCGGAAATTAATGTGTTCACTTAAAGTCTTTCAGACCAAATAAGATTAAAATTTATATTCATTCACTAAAACATGGGGGAAATGAAAGAGAGAAAGAGTAATTCATTTATTGATTAAAATTAATCGTGATTGAAATAGTTTTATAATAAAAAAAAGTTAATTTGAACTTACAACCAACTTAATAAAGTTTAGTTTGATAGTAAAAGCTATTATCTCACAGTCCCCCAATGCCCTGGTATGGCCAAGAGTGGGGAGAGTCAATTCTTCCTCTCGAACTGCTCCCACATGGCCACGTGCATACAACCACTACCAGGGAAATCCTACTCACTGTTTTCTCGTGGCGGGGGTGCTGTTTACGAAATTGAGAGAACAAGAAGCGAATGTCCTATGCTTTAAACCTGTTGATGGATATCAAGTATCCACCTAGGAAATTTGGAAAACCCTGATTCCAAACTAATGGTGCATATGGGCTCCAGGATCAAAGGCTCCGGGTATGGTCCCCTAATTTTGATGGAGTTTTGTTCTCTGAGCTGGATGGTTTGGTCGTGGAGCTTTCATCGTTCTTCTGAACGACATCATCAGCACAAACTTCAGATAGAAGTGAAGTGTTCGAATTTCTCCATATGCGTTTCACAGCTTGTTCTGTGCACCTCGATGTTGATTGGTTCTTATTGACCTTAAATTTGTCATTGTTTACCCCTAAGAAAACCACCTTCTTCGGTTTGGGCACCCGGGCAGTATTCCAGCCCTCCCACAAATCGAATGACTTATGTGGCGCTTATCTGTTTAGTGCCTCCTTGTACCCATATTTATGTGTTTAAATAAATAAATACCAAAAGTTACAAATACTGAATTACATGTTCAGAGGTTATAGATAGAAGACAAGATGTTTTGGCTCTAGATTTTATTCTAGTTAGCATTCATCATTTAGATGTACCTGTAATCTTGAGGGAATCAATACTGCATGTAGGATTACAAACTCGTACCTTCCAGCTTTAGAGTTTGGAATAACATCAGTGAGTTACTCAGAGAGCGAATGACCTCCAATTGGACTAAGATATTTATAATTGATTAATTACTGAATGGTGACCAATATCATGCTTATCTAGTCCTTTATTGTTAAATAAATCTTATCGATTAAGTGATTAACAAGTTAAAATAGAACATTTTCTATCACTCATTATCACAATCATCAAATACATATAAAGTATACTAAAAATTAAAGGTGGCTACTTTAACATGAAGAAATTTTACACTTCAAAACATGAATGAATAACTTTAATGACCAGTTTTCAAACATGATATAAGATTTCAGAGTTCATTCTTAGATAAATTGATTAATTATTTCTTAACTTCATTAACCAAGTACAAACATGTGTACTTCGTTTTAAGTAACATTCAAAGTGTATGAATTACTCATTTACCCAAACAGAAGTAAGCAAAATGAAATCCAAACTTTCAACTGAAGGTTGAACGCCTTAGCACTAAACCACCACTTCATATATGAATTTATTACTATTTTCCAGAATTTTCATCTTAACAAAATTAGTCCTGAAAACTATATAATAAAAAAGAGATACATGATTGGTATACTTTAACACTCTTGATGCATACTTAGGTTATATATATAATGACATAATAAAATCACTTCTATATTCTTTCTTCATTCAGTAAACTGTTGATTATGATCAGATAAGATGGACTTAATCAAACAATGATCCGGAAAAGCCGATATTATTGCAATTTGTCATACTGATACGTGTCAATAATTATCATTTTTCTATTACGCAACAGAATAAACTTTTCATGTTTGTTTCTTTTCTTTCTTTGACCACATGTTTAAAATAAGGGACTAAAAGCGCAGATTATAATGACATAATCTATCTTTAAACTAATTATTCAATTAACTAAGAACACAATACTCTTGAATAAATTTCTTTGACATGAATATCTCGGAAATTTATCGGTTGGTAGTGTTCGAAACAACTGAATGATTTCTCATCTAACCACCAAAAACGTTGAGATTCAAGACTGACTGGGATGGAAATAGAATGAAAGAAGGCTATAAGTGTCTAAATGTGTACCCTGAGTCAATCCATGGGGTTACCGATCTGATTTGTTCTGCTAAGTGATGACAATAAAACGAGTTCTATGTGGCAACTATGACCATTGATTTGGAACGTTGAATGACATTGGAGTGTAACAGAAACATTAAATACTTCGTTAACTTAACCCCTAATCTCCAGTTTCGTGAATATCTCATACTTCCTGCTTTAGCAATGTGCTGGGGAAACTTGAAAAGGTGTACATATCACTTATGTCTTCTAGTGAAAATAAGCAAACGTATAATCAAATGAGAATAGGATAGGTACTTATGAAGAGCTTGAGAATTGGTCTGACCCATTCAGTTGAGTTCTTAAATAAGAGTTTGTGACACAGGTGTCCGCTATGTACTAAAAACGATATATGATAAAATCAATTGTAGTGATACAAAGTATTATCGGTTTATAAGAAATCGATACTGTATTACTCCTAACGTGTTCTCTTTGTGTTTTTATTCTAAATCACTACTGTTGCTGTTACTAATAGTCTCATTCTTTGCTTTTACAGTTAATTACATCTACTAAATGTATTGAAGTATATATTAGTGAAGGTGTTTGCACAATATCGTGGATTAATTGAAGTTAGACTGTCACACTAGTGGTATAGACATCAAGCTTTCTGATGTGAGGTACTGGTTTTTATTCCTCCTTGAGAAATCGAAGATGTGCACAATTGAAAACTCTTACACCAGAACGAAATGGTCGCTCAGTGCTTCCAGCTTTCTATTGGTTGTTTTACTTAAATCGGGTCGTGATCTAAATAAAATTTAACAATCTCTCATAACTTCATACTGATCATTATAGAAAATATTGAAATGTTTTTTATTCTACCACGGATACATTTGACAAACTTTATCTAGAAATCCCATCAGTCTAATTCTAATATTTCTAAATGTTACACAATGATGATTACAAAGGAAGAGGAAAACAAACGAACAATTTCGTCAACAACAAATACATCTACAAGACAACTTCATTATCTTAAAATGTAACACAACATAACACCGTATTGAAAAGAATTTTTTTATTACAATTTTATTTTCAAAGCATTAATAGATAAACATGAAATGAGAACAAATAACCAATCTCCCATTGGTATCACTTGACCTAACCTCTTAATTCATATTTCATGTACAAATTAATAAGATGTAGAATAAACTAAGAAGCAATTATCAATAATAAAACGATTAACTGATAAAAAAATCAATCATTTAAAAACAAAAAAAAACATAAGTAAATATACCTACAACGACAATGATAAACAATAATAATAATAATAGTAATAATAATAACTTTCTACCATTTACCTGGGTATTTAGATAACAAAATCAACTTGAAAAACCATATCGAAACAAATATTGCGTAATATTTGTTGTAAAAAACAAAAACAAACAAAATGAAGAAAAAAACGAAAAAAAAGGGACAAAGACATAAAACAAATATCGACATTATTATTTTTTTTTAAAAATAAGTTTGTCATGACCTACAAAAAAAAAGAAGGAAAGTGAACTTATGCAACATAATGAAGCATGAGTAGTGTGTGTATGTGTGTGCAATTGGAATAGGAAATGTTAATCTTTCTGAATAAGGCATAATACACAAATAAACGAGAACATAAATTATACGAGAGAAATAAAAAAACAAATCAAGGAAGACTTGAATCTTACAAAAACAAAACAAAAATTTAAATTAATGTGAAAAAATATGGGTTCTAGTGTATATAACAGAAATTATAGAAAATACATTCTTATTAAGCACTTAATTGTGATTTATATGATAATGATGAAATAGCATCTAATGTTGATCCAGTTGTTTTATCGCTAGTTTCTGGCAAATATTTATGCACATAAACCATAGATATTAAACAACATATAGAAAATATGACAAACACCATAGCAGGATTAATTGAATTACCAGTTATTTCAAATAGTTCTGTTATTAGAAAAGCAAAGATCCAATTGATAGCGATAGCAGCACTGACAGCATTTCCACGACTACTAACTGGAAATAATTCCATGCTAACAAGTACTGGTAATGGTCCCCAGCCAAATGAATAACCAAACATAAATAAAATAATCCAAAATTGACTAAGTTCAGCAATGTATGAATAAGTCTGGAAGAGGAAAATCAAAATGGCAGAATAATCGTTATTACAATTTAAAAGACAAATATTATTCAAGGAATATTAACCTAGTCCTAGAGCATTTAAGGAACTTAATAGGTTTCTATGTTATACTGTCAGACTTGCGAAAGCAAATGAGAAAATCAACTTTATGAAAAGTTGTATAGATAAACACGAATATCTAAAACCGTTTTTGAAGGCACTTCGTCGAAATCACATACATCCTGATCATCGGTTACTTAGTCGCTAGATATTGAACCATATCGATGAGGTAAAGTCTAGGTTGCCTGAAGCGGGACGTAATACTGCATTGAGAGCAAATGTATTGTACGAATTATAAAGTGACGAATGTGGAAGGTTTAAAGAATATGTCGATACAGTCGCGACGAAGCACTCTGAAAACTGACTGAAAAATTAAAAACAAAACCCCCTTTCTAGAATCGCCTGAGAAATGTTTTAAACTAATCTAATGCATAAGCGTCCACATTACAAATACAAGCACTGTCAATCGGTCCAAAACTTTGTGATACTTCTGAGAAAATTGGTGACCACACAAAAACACAATTTTAAATCTTATGGAACAAACATTTGATTTAACCTCAGTTCCTATAAATCATTTTGAGGAACTTAAATCAACAATTACTAACTTTTCCCATGAATACACCAATTCGCAAAGCTCGACGAGGCGGTTCCTATCGGAGGAGCCTAAATATCAAATGAACATTTCAAGAATAAGGATTTGTCATTGCTCCGTCTAGATAAAGGAGCTGGGATTGTTCTAATGGTTCCAAAGAACCATATTAAAAAATTATCCCCAAATACTTAATAATTCGGAAAAGTTTTCTAAAGAACCAACGGAAAAAGATGCCATCGATCAATTCGAACTTAAGCTGGCTACAATACTGAAAAAATGTAGAATTAATCAACCATTCACAACTATTCACAGGTTTAAAGCCATCAGGTTCTGCAAATCCCCAATTGCATGGGCCCCCATAAGTACATAAAAAAGTTCTACTTCCTTGTCTGATAATGGATCAGGAAAATTCGCTATACCACCCAACATCAAATGGCTGGTGAAAATCCTACTATCAGTCAGAAACCGGATCTGCAAACATGACATTTCAGACTCTTTCAATTTGGTGAAACTAGTAACCAACGTCGAAGTATCAGAAAGAAAATGATATCGCTGGATGTCATTTCTCTACTCATAAATGTCCCGCTCACACAAAATATTTAATTCTTATGTGATTGCATTGACCTTAAAACTGTTAAAGTTGGCGTACCAAGAAACTTCATAAAAGAGCCATACTGCACTTCAAAGTGCAATTTAAGTTTAGCGATGACATCTATGAATAAAGTGTCACAATTGGATCTCCATTGGATCCTCTCCCAGCAAACTATTTTATGCCTAATCTAAAAAACATTACCCTTTGATTAACAAGCGGTATATTTTATTTTTAAGAGATATACAGAGGATGCTTTTATAATCTGTGACCAAGGCAGCGACCCCAATAGAATATTACGAGGATTCGATAATTGTTATCACTTGATTACGGTCACAATAGAAGCAGAGTTGAACTCAGTATTCCATTTTCTTGATGTTCTACTAATACAAGGATCAGATGAGTCTGTGCGACGATCGATATACAAAAAGCCAAAATGGAACGGGTAGTATACGAACTTCCAGAGTTGGGTGACCTTGAGTAAGAAGAAAATTCAGTCCATTTTCTATCCTTGAGAGGCAAATGAATATGCACTGAAGACACAGTTGATGATGATCTGAATATAATCCGACAAACACTTGTGGAGAATGGCTTCCCACCCATAATCAATGATAGTAAACTAAAATCAAAAGGTCAAGTTGAAAGTACTCCTACTGTTCAGAAGAAAGCTTTATCCCCAAACGTTGAATTTAAGAGAGATACAGCAGCTGAGATATTAAAGATTAGACTATCCAGATTACTGAGAAAGAAGTTTTATTTTGTAGAGCTCCGATCTGTTTCATCCAGAAAGAAACTCGTTCAGAGAAGTGTCAAGAGTGAAATTTCGCTTTGGGCCACCTCAATATCCATCTACTAGCTTACTTACTCTTGTGGACCAGGTCATATTCGTCATATAATCAGCGCACTTGCCAAACAAATATTTGACCACTAACCTGCATGACTGTCTAAAAGGGAATACATATCGATCAACAGCTCAGACCTTGAACATGTGCTCAACACTGGTCACATCCTACCACGAAAATCGTTGTTCAAAATCCTTTACAATGTAAGAAGAACATGCTCAAAATAAATTTGGACGAGGAATTTATGCACAACCGATGCTACGGAAATTCACCATTTCAAACCCGAACTCTTTGTACAGAAAAGTCATTTTCAACAACTCATACTCCCATGACCTTAGCAACCCTTTTCAATCTACAAATTATGGGTGTTAATTATTGTCTTTTTTTCTACTTCATTAGGTAAACAATTGTCTTCAGCCATTATTCTATAGATTATTACCTCTTATGACTTCAAAAACAATGTAAGCACTTGATTTTTGATTACTTTTCTAAATGGTGCAACCCTTTTTATTCAATAACTTTAATCACATTGAAATAACACCCTTCTATCTATAAATTATTATTCTCAATACTTGAAGAAATCTCCGATAAACTTTACTATATAATGCAGCATTACTCCGTTTTCATTGACTTCTACTTGAATAAGTTAACCTTTCCATCACTTGAAATAACTCATAGATAATAAAAAAAAACCCAACTTCGTTAAGATTTTGTTGAAGTAGTGTCTAAAATATAACTGAATTTATGCATTAATAAAGAAACAGCTAATAATTTATCACTGTAATGTTGATACTTTTTTATTACATCATTTCCAGTTATTTTTCCTAATATTGATAGTATTTGTAATTTGTTATGCAATCTTCATTAAGCTAACTATCATATCGTTCGCCTTAACATTATCTTTTCACTCATCTGTGATTTTTAATCATCGAATTCTTGAAACTTATATAGACTCGTTAAATCCTTCAGAATTATTACGTAACAAATCATGTCAATTATTGCTGTCTAGATAATTAGTCCTTTTTCTAAATTAAAATTAAACAAGTTTTCATCCATAATTCCAGTCAGAGATCAAGCCCAGGGCCTTCAGGTTTTACCACAAGTATTTACCGTTTAGACTATTTAAACCATATCCACTAGCTGATACGTGCAATTTAAATCATTCTGCGATAATTTACAATCATATTCCAATGTCATCGATGAGTAACTGGAAAAAATTGTTCGTCGATGTAGGCAGTGGTCTTGCATACGTAACACATGTCCCAACCACCTCAGTTAGTGAAGATTTACCATCTTTACCAAGTACTCCATTACTAGGTAACTTTATATAAAACGAGAAGAAATAGACCTAACAAAGTTAAACCTTCAAGTAATTTATACTGTCCGCAAAAAGATCATGAAATTCTCCATTTACATAGTTAACATCATCATTAAAAGAGTCGTAGCACAAAATACTCCATGATTATCCTGTGACTTTTCAAATTAAATAATTAAATCCGTTAAGCAGTCTAAGTTCAAGCTTAAATGTCTAATGTTATGTTTATCTGGAAATATTTTGATTTTAGGCTCACATCGTGACCATCTGAACATGTATATATCCCATCTACAAAAATTTAAGAAATCACAGGTGATATACATGACACAACTCATAGCTTAAAGGGCAGATATACAAGGACTTCTCTTTACTTAAATTTTGCAGAAAATATCATGAGATTATAAATTTTGTTAGCATTCACAATTATGGTAAGAGAATGGTATTTGTGCATTCAGAGTAAATGAGTCTCTGTTTAAAAGATCCATCGCTGAAATTGGTAGTGAAGGTTTTCAAGACCATTACTGGTTGGTTTTCATTCAAATAAACACTCAAAAAAGACCATAAACATTTACGAAAGTTTTGATGATATAGAAAACTACTTGTTTACCTGCTTTACGTTTAAAGAGTGCGAAAGTTAACTTTTGCACTATGTACTTTATAGTTCCATTAAAAACACATTTGAGCTTCTTTTTAACAAACAATATTCTTAGAAAAGTAAAGAATGTATCCATAGAATATCTTTGTTCATTCGTTTAGAAACATGTAAAAAACAATTCGATAGTGAAGATGGATGAAACATATCATGAGAATATGCTTAACGTATTAAAGTTATGTTAATACAAAAGTGATGTTATTGGACAAAAAGAAAACAGAAATTATTTCACAGTTAACTTACAGAAATTGTAATGCTATAGGCTAGTAAAGCTATAACCATGGTGAAGGCACTAAACTGAAGTAACGTTTTTCGACGCACGTGATTGATAATAAGAGCTGCTAAAATAGTGAATATCATTTGAAAAAAGCCTATAGAAAAGGCACAAACAGGAGGTGATTTTGCATTTCCAATGAGACAAACCGATTCAGCAAAAAAGAGGATAGCATTTACACCAGTTAACTGTTGAAATATCATGAGGGCTATAGCCATTCGTAATTGAGGTTGTTGACTTGACGGAACAAGTGAACATGGAAAGATATAATGCCAAAATGAGTGCTGTTTTGTTTCATTATTGGTTGTACTTTCGTTTAAATCGATCGTATCCGTAGAATGTCCACTGACCTTACAAAATAAAACACAAGATTAACATGGGCACCATTGCGAGAGATTTAAGAAGTAACTTAATCCCAATACACATTATTGGGCTATTCCTATAAAACTCATAAAGTTGTTAGCATCTCAACACAGGCTATAAAATGAAAGTACAATCAACATTTCTATATGCAATGAAATATATTTCCTACTTATATTTAAGAAAAAGCAGAAGGCTTTTTACAGACTATAAATTGGATCAAAATAATTGTCAACAAGCAATACCTGTTCCAAGTTATAACATTACTAATAACTTTAATAGTAGATTAATAAATTTTATGAGAACTATCAGCTTCATGGGACATTTAGAAATACAATGTCTCTATAATTCCTTTGTCAACAGCTGACATTACTTTTCTCTACAGCCAAATACTTTGTCAACTATAAGATATCAATTTGTGCAGACAGTGTATTCACAAACATTTGGGCTTTAATGTTATAATAACTGTAATATTGTGATCTATTGCTTCATCACACAACAATAGTAGATATGTAAATAAAAGTTTGACATTAATTAATTCACTAGGATTATCAAAATGCTACCAAAAAGTGGTTTATGACATGTAAATCCGCAAATCAGGTTTATTTTAGATATTTTTTTAAAACCTGATGTGAAATTTCTTTGAAGATGTTTTTTGTAAGAAAATTTTGAGAATACAAAACATAACAAAGTTAAATCTTATACAATTCACGGAATTCTCAGTTCACATTAATAAATTTCTTTTTCTGTTTAATTCTGATTGCTCTTCACCATTAATATCACTTAGAATGCTTTGAGACATTTAATTACAACACAAGCAACGTTGTCCCAGTGTCTTTATTGGAATCTTATCATATGATAAAATATTTAAATAGATTGTATTTGATAAACTTTGAATAATTTAATTAAAAATGGATATGAATTTTCCACAGACACTTTGGATAGTCTTATTGGGCAATTAGCAGTAACTCGAATACTTGTGGAAACGAATTCTTCCCATATCCCATCTCGAAATATAAAAACTGCATCACAAAGTAATATGCTTTAATTTTTTTCACTTATGAAGTTCTATTTTGGAAAGAGAAGCTTTCAACTTCAGCTAATTAACTATTAGCTTTTAAATGAATTGGAAGGCGCTTCCCTAAATCAAAATTTACGAGTAAATAGAAAATAATGGAAGGAATGATTCTATAGACTTCCAGTAATGTTAGGTTGAAAATAAGTACGAAGATAAACCAAGCCATCATAAATAATACCAAATGAAGTACACTAAATTAAATAATAGTTCAAAACAACCTTGTATTGCGTAATCTGGATAATCACAATAAATCTGAGTTGGTATTTATCCAACTCGTATGTATAAAAATGTAAATTTACTAGGTAATACGATTTACTTAAAACTTACCATTCCAAACAACCGTATGCTAATACTGTTAGCTTCGTGAATACGGCCAGCTTTTCGAAGCCATTTTGGAGATTCTGGGAGAAGCCATACGAGAATTAGTATGACAATGGAGAAAATGGAATTTACCAGGGCGATTTGTTCCCAAAGCATAAACATCGCCATGAAAAAAGATATACAAATCCCTGTGACTATTCCAACTTGAGGTAATGAACCAACTATACCACGAATTTTAGTGGGAGATATTTCTAACATATATGTGGCAGAAGATGGAATACATAATCCCGCCCCAAATCCAGTTAAAAGACGACCAAAAACAAATAAATCTGTTGGGAAGGCATTTTGATATATTACGTCAGAACATAAATACATCCATAACCAGCCTAACATAGTAGGAATACAAGATACCAAAAGAGTAAAACGTCTTCCAGCAGTTGACAACATATGCGCTGATAGTAAACCCCCTAAAAGACCACCAATGTTCAATGAACTGGCAAAAATCGCAGATTTCGAGACCGTAAAGTACACTTGAAGAGTGCATGCTGAAGAAAAACCGAACGCTAAACCTAAAAGTTAAAAGATTACGAGTTTGTAACTGTGAAGTCTTTAATGCAAAACATAAAATTACATTTAATTACACATAAGAACATAATATACCATATCTTCAAGTATCTGTAAATAGATGGTAACTCAAATTCAATGAGCTAAATGATGTTAAGTTGTCTTAAATCTGCATCACATATAATGACTCAATATTTAATAGATTCATCACATTCACATGAACTTAGTCGACTAAGTAATCTACCTAAATGATGACTTAAATCAGGTTTCAAGAATAACTATATAATTTATCAAAAGCATGGTAAGTAATTGAGGATAGCTGACAAACTTTGTGGAAGTTCGGTTGATGTCGAAAGTGGCAAACTGATTAGATGTTCAGTAAACGAATATAAAGATTTATTGAACTTAAGCTTATGTAAATGACAATGTTTTACTGTACTTAAAATAGCTGGCGAAATGAAGATATTTAGAGCTTTGTTCAAATAAGCTGGACAATTTTCTTTCATCTTGTGTGAACTTCAAATGAAGAAAACACATGCTGGAACAATAACAAGTTTTCTGTAAATTAATCCATTCAATTATCCACAAAACTACCCGGAATAATTTATAGAACATTATTAACTATTAGTCAGCTTTTTGTTCCCATAACTTGTGCAACACGTTGACCTACAAATTTTTGAAATTAGTAGCCAAATATCTAAAATGTTTTAGGCGTAGAAAATTGCCACTTTTTCTGAAATGCCCACTTAAACTTTGATCATAATGTATTTTGTAAGAGAGTAACTCACCAGAAGTTAGAGAAGGACGTCAACTTAGATCCGCAAACGTAAAAGAAACTGTTTCTCGTTGATTTGACTGTTATACTGAATTTGATTTATGTTAAAATTCCAATGAACCAAAAAGTGTAAATGAGCACTCACTGCAATTAAGAGACCTTATGAAAAGTAGGTAATTTTGTTGTTGACTTTAAGCAGTGTGCTGTCCACATATCATGGATTTTCACAGGGCTTTTCATCTGCACTGTGTCTTCCCAACTAAATCCACATATACGCACTTTCGTTCGGATCTTCGTTCTGATAAAAAGATTACTTTCTAGTTTTAACTATCCAAGGTGAAGCAACTTCAAGGGATTAAGACCAGTAAACTTCCTATGTCTTCTCAGCGAGTTTCAATTGATTATGAGGATCATTTAGTAGTACGGTGTCCTCAAGCTTAATATGAAAAAATCTTCGAAAAACCCGTGTTTGGGGATGGATAAAAAGCACTTCATAGACTTCGGAAACAATATAAAAAAACTTTGAAACGTTCTATGACGCCATCTCAAGAGAAACTCATACACACAGGTTTTATGATTTATGTTCAATTAACACGAACAATTACCTTGTCCACAATCAGGACTGATATATGGGTGCTAAAAAACTAAGGCGTCATCTTTATACTACATACATTTGGCTTTTTTAGTGTAAACGTAATGCTTTAAACGAAAAACGAACGCGTATTTTACACTCATGGAAGACTAAGATGGTTCGAACTCCTTGAAATAACATCGGTATTAAACTTATACATAACAGATTTATGTAGTGTGTTCGAAAATTAGTAGGTCATAAACCCGACAACAGTTGTCTATAAGGGGAATGGCGTGAGAAACAAACTGAAATTCCATCAGAAGATATGCATTTGTTCAGATTTTTATTGCACTTAAAACGTTGCAACTATTTTAGGTTGAAAGCGGCTTATGCTTTTAATGTTAGAAACGACTCATATTTACAAGAATGTACTTTGTCCCACCAATTTCTGACTAATGAGGAGTCATACTTCCTGATTTCAATATAACTAATAGGAATCCATAAAAAGCCTGGTAATCTATACCGCACAATTTTTAATATGCATTATAAAGATCTTACGACAGTTTGAGGAGCTACGACGATGCCCTGGTACGGCCGAGGATGGGAAGAGTCAGCTCTCCCTCTAGAAGTCCTCTTACATAACCATGAGTATACCGCCACCGCCAAGGAAGTTCTACTCACTACCTTCTCGTGACAGGGGTGTTGTTCACCGAAATGAGAAGACGATATAGAGGATCTACCTAGAGAAGTTGGAAAACACTGATCTTAAACCAATGGGCTCCAATATCCTGAGGAAACCAATGGCGTATGAACCTGTTGTTTGTCACTGACTACCATAGGACTGCATCTCCCTACGTTGTCCCCCTGCCTTGTGGATCAGACCTTTAGGTCAAAGGCTCAGGGGTGTGGTCCCCTAAGGAAACCATCTGTTTCGGTCTAGACACCCGGGCAGTATCACAGCCCACACGCAAACTAAGTGACTTGTATGGCGCATATGTATTCGGTGCCCCTTTGTACCAATATTTATATGTTCAAATAAATAAGTATACTACGAGTATGCTTGTATATCTTGAGTAGGTTTGTTGTTTGAAATATCAAAATGCTTGTACATAAGATATTTTGCCTGATTTACATAACTGGAAACAATTATGTGTAGAATTTACGGAATCGTACAAATATCTCGTTAAGAGCAAGACCTGACATTTTGTTGACACGTATACCTTGAGGAAGTACAATTATCTCTCCTCTCCTATTTAAAAAAAGGTAATTAGTAGTCGAATTTGTAAGAATCAATATATAAAATGAAATTTTAAAAATACGAATACCAGCTCATAAAACAACCGCGGTCAATAATTTAGATTTATAAGGTGGATAATTTAGGCTTGAAAATGACAGTACATGTGGTACGTCGAGATAAACTCTTACCAGGCGTTATAGAACTTAAAGTTGACGCAATAATAACAAATGAGCTAGTTATACGACAGTTCACAATCGACGGCATGAATGCAACGTTTAATTTGAAGATTATGAGCCACGACGTTAGAGAACAAATACCTAAAGAAGAAAAGTATAGCCATAGGAAAACAATGGAAATAAAAATACCGCATGTGAATATAAAATAACGCTATTCAGAAGACTAAGGTGAAAAGCAATTTAAATTTAACTTTGAAGCAAACTTAACACAATACTTAATTTCACACCACCGGACATCACAGAAAGGTGTGAATTTCATCAAAATTGATTAAGTTCCGAAACCGTCCGACACAATTGATTCCTGAAGAAAACTATTTAATAGAGTGCCGTAACATTAAAGAAAAAGTACACTGCACATCACACTTAGTAAACCGAATACGGCAGTTTAGAACACAGGACTTTCGTAAAGTTCAGCATTTACTAAATCGTAAACGGTGGGACTATAATTTATGAACGATCTTTGAGCGAAGCTGAAAAGACCTTGAGAATGTTCACGTAAAAAACTACGGCCAGATCAGGGTTATGAATCAGTATGAAAGATTAGGGTTATTATTTATAGTTAATAGTCAGAATCATATTTAGTTTTTTCATCACGAACTGATATCACTTATAATGCCAAAACGGTATTTGGTAAAATAGATGATTTTGTTTCGCGCCTAAAATCAAGACCTGTTATAATAATTCTGATAGGTTTGTCCATAAATGATAGTCTCGCCTCGTACATTAGTTATAAGAAAACCTTTCTAACAATAACCTCATTACGCTAAATATGTACACTAAATCAATCCTTAATAGCGTTCGAATTGATACTTCCAGATGTGACTGAAAATACCAACCGCTACAGACGATCAATAAGAATGATAACCGGGTGTAAAGTAAGTTAAGATAATACAAAAATTGGCTAAATACGAACACCAAAAATACAATTGTATTTTTGGTGTTCGTACAATATTAATATTGTAAGTTTGAATATTAATATTCAAAAACCAAAGAATTAGGTAGAGACACTTATGCCACTACGATAAGTTATTAGCAACACGACCAAGACCCCACTTAACTAATATTAAGATGCAAATATACAAGTCAATTATTTACCAATAATTAATATTCAGATTACTGTTAGCGGTTTACAAATGACGGTTTTACCGCAAGTGTTAACTTTTCGACATGCGTTAAATTGATTAGAAGTTGCTCTGATAATCAGCTTTGCTTTTATGATCTTATTCGAACTAACACTTAATCAGAGTCTTGAAACACAAAAACCTGATAAGCGAAGAAATATAGCGCCACAACAAAGGTCACTTTAGCTATCATTGGTGTAAAGAAACAAATTCTGAATGTAACTCTGATATGCATCTCTAGTTCTGCAAACTAAGAACACAAAAACGATAATTGGTACGAAACCTTACTGCTCGTTCTCTTAGGTATCAGAACGAGTTTGAAGGCAGAAATTCAATGTTCCGCCGCTGAACTTGTATTCGACACGACATTACGTCTGCCTGGAGAATACTTCACATCACGGAGCAGTAAACATCTCGGAAAATCAGAATACGTCCATCGATTGTCTGCTTTTATGTGAACACTGTCTCCGGTGTCAACTCAAATACAACATCGACAGGTCGCTCTCCCTCGAGAATTATCTACCTGTTCACATGTTTTCATACGAGTTGATTCGTTACGCAAGTCTGTACAACAGCCTTACTAAGGATGTTTTCACGTGATCTTTCGTCACGAAAAGACCTTCAAGGTTGATCGACATGGCCGCGTCGAGATCGTCAACATTGATTGTCTCAAACGAACACATTTCGATGACAGTGCCCTACGCGATAACTTGAGACACAATGCCAGACCTATCAAACCTACTGGCGGGATCTCTATATCTACATCGGATACCACGCTAGATAAATCAGAGACCTCATTCTCGCGTTCCGGTCAATAGCACGTGTCATATGCACCATCTACGGACGAGACTTCCGTCTCACGTCCAGATCGGCAGACCACGCCGTCGTTGACCTCGGATGAGATTGCAGGCTCACGAAGTACGAACAAGACCACCGTCTCACGTCCCAGTCGCCGAATACGCTTACCCGTACGCTTTCGCGACTAGCCTCACAGTAAACAACGGATATTGTGTAGGACTATTCTTATACTACACGCATGCTGCACTTTTGTTGTCTTTTTTCGTATCTCGAGCACATGCCTCCGATTATCGCCCGTTTGGTACTGTCGACTTCAGTCAACTTTGGCGAAAGCTGGTCTGGCCATCCACGCTCTTGTCAACGCACTCAGACGATGGTCTGGTTTCGAATCCGCTTAGTATGCGCTTGGTTTCGTACTTGGTTGTTATAGTCGCTTCTAGTTTCTTGACTCGACGTGGTTTCGTCCTACGTCTGCAGCGTTGCCTGGTCCGCATCCCCACAAACGCAAACTTCAGATCCTGGATACAAACCATTATAGTGTGGTATGCTAACTCGAGCAACGCAAACAGCACACTTCTCCTGGTACTGTTCTACTTAAATACCTTCGTCGGCAACTCGAGGATCAGCGATCGCTTCCTGTTTCGCCAATCCTTCCGTCCTATAATCGCACGTTTGCCGATCAGTCCCACCAACCAAACCGCTTCCTATCGAAAGTGTAAACTCTTTCCAGCGCCCGTATTTTTTTGGCATGATCTCGGTATTCATTCGATACCACGAGATTGCCAACAAATAAATCTGGTTGGGGTCAATTCTTCGACTTCTGATTTGTGTGGTATGCGCTCTTCTTTTAGTGGTGTGCATAGTCGACCGCGACTCGACGCCACGCTACTGTATCACAATGCTTACGATGATAATAACAACTATGGATTCATATCATATAGTCCATTTTAAAAAAGTTGTCCAACTGTCTAATGTGATTTAAAAAACTTTCAAAAAAATGTGTAATCATCCTTATCTGTATGTTAGTGTAGTCTGTACCGGTAAACAAATTGATATTGAAGATAATTCTGTGTTTCTTTGACATCGTTGCTGAACTCATTAGTTTTATTTGAAACACGCAAGCTAAAATCGCTTGGTCACTCGTCGTGCTAAATAATGAACTGTGACTATATTCCAGCTGATATCAAACTCCTTTCAACATACCGGTAACTTTCAAAATATATCTTCGATCTTAAAAGCACATGACTTGTGATTTAACTAGGGTGGTGTTTTCTGAGCATAGAGGTGTTTTAGATGAAAGTGTTATCGAATGTCGGATAACAATATCCTGGAAGTACATGGTCATTGTTAAAAAAAGTTACTAAGAAAGCGTCATCGCTACTCCTTTGAATATATTGTCAGTGATCAGAACAAGTAACTTTGTTTTGACATCAAATCTCAGATATCTTGAGAAGGTAACGATGACCAAACATAGTTTTTCGATTCTCTTTTCTCCAGGGTTACGAATTGCAGGAAAATAGAACCACAATGTTCCCACCGATACATTGTTTACTCAACATTTTACTGAAACATGTCGAGTAATCCGAAGTATAAGCTGTTCTGAGCATCACCAAGACATGATTTCTGATACACTGAATCCTATAAGTTACTCATCAAATATCTAACTCATTTTCACCTGACAATAAATATCGACTAACGCTTAATTAAGTAGAGTTGGTTCACTCGCCTAACATGTTGCGCGTCACTTCAACGATCATATAAAATACATGTATTCGAAATTCATTACTATACTCGACACATTAAACTCAATTATACACTAATGCGAGTTAGGTCGATGATTATATACGACAGTAGCCAGGATATATATTGTAAAATCTACCATTCACATGGTAATAACGAGTCAGATCACGGGCAACTAAATACTTTTATGCTCTCCTGGAATATTTTCTGCAATGATGAATACCCCGAGCCCTGAGCACGTACTGTGTACTCGGTATATTTTTTAGATATGCTTTACAGTATGGACCAAACCTGTTGCACCCAAAACATTCTTTAAGTAATATTACACTAAATAACAGGCAGCCAACCAGCACCATAGAGCCAGTAACAAGAGCGTTTGTTCTCGTCTTCTTAAAATTGAATCACTGCTAAAAATAACAGCAATCGTGTCCACTGTTCCTAGTTAAGTTGTCGCGTTTACTGCGCAGTGGTGAAGTATTCTTCTAACACATTCTAAGTGTTGAATATTATGCATAGTTACTTCCATTGTAGGAAGTCGTATACATTGATCAACGCATCACAACAATAACTGAGTTACTTTACAAATCTCTTTTCATGTCGTAGATGCAAAGTTAAAAGCCCAAAAAACGACCAACCAATCCAAAGGCGTTCAAGCACGAAGTACCTGTATATTAGCTGACGAATACATAATGTCTATGTTCTTTACAAAATTCCCTTACAGTAAATGATACTGTGAATTTGCGCTTACAACACGTACTTTGCTCTCTTTTAGATCTTTTGGACAATTGAACATAATACACTACTTGACCTTCATATAATTTCATAGAATAGCAACACTATGAGGTGGATTACGATAGTGAGGGATTTACTAACCGTACAGAGTGGACTATTCGTAGGTAAATATTATCAATGACTCAAGCAATTTATGAATATTCAGTTCGAAATATAACGTCATGTAAATACAACAGGATAAAGGGATTAAACCGAATAAAAATCGAATGAATCTGGAAGACTGTGTGTCACAAAAAGGTAAATCTTATTTCAACTATAGAATGAAAGTCTGTTCTATTAAGTAAGTTTTCCACGTAGTATTTGAGCATAAGACAAAGTCGAAATATTTGAGACAGGTAATACATTGCAGTCAGTCTTAGGATCTTTTACCGATTCTGGTTGTTCGTTGGAAAGCTTCACGGCTCCAGGAAATTCTCGTTTGAGTACATTGGTTAGGCTTCCACGATTACTCATTGATCCTGCAGGTAGTTTTGAATACCCACGTCTCGCGATAACCATTACATGACAGTTAGGTCCCGGATCATATGTACAAGCTTCCATACCATAGTATTCTACAATATCATGAATGAATCTACGTTTCCTTTTATTCATAGGCGAAAAATGATGAACTAAAACCCGGGGGTATTCTTTGGGATTATTTGGATCAGTAGGTTCAATATTGGATTTCAAGAACTAAATTAAAGAAAATACTTGATTTTCAGCAGACTTAATGACTTAAAGATAAATGACATTTGTAAAGCAAGTACATAAATTGTTTTGAGTGCATCCAGTAAATGTGCAAACTATTGTAAATGTTCTTAAAAAGTTTCCATTACACATCTATACCAAAAATCACTTTCCTGAACATTCACAGTGTAGTTTCTTTAGCCTTTTTCAGTAATAGAAGGGAACCATGTTCATTACATATTACCATATCATTATGCTTAATAAGACATCAAAAACAATTCACGAAGTCACTGATTATTTTTATAAACACTATAAAGACAACAAAATCTGGAGTTTACGATCTATTTCACAAGTCTTTTTCTCAAGAAAGACTATTCCAGTAAAACTTGTGGTGTTCTGAAATCAAATCTTTTAAACGGTTTATATTTATCTCACAAAGTATCTGAAACTATTATGATGTAGTAATCATCATACAACTTTCTCCTGGTATAAAAGAATAGTTAAAAAGAGTGGGAAATTTATCATTGTGAGCATACTATGTACCAAATAAGAAACATATTCGATCTACTGCAAAGCGTGATCAAGACATGTGAGGTATTCATAAAGAATAACCAAAGTTCATCAAGATATACCTCTCACGAACTTTCGGAAGAATACACCTACGTACTCCCTTTTAAATATTACGGACTTACAACGTCAATTTCTATTGTTCTTATTTATTACAAAACATTCTGTTGTTTGTCACCGATAATTATGTGTACAGAATTAGCAAGGAACATAAAGACAACTACGATGAGATGCCTCTGATAGTATTATGAGCGTAGTTTTAAAGAAGCCTCTAGTTATAACAAATTCAGGTTTTTCTGTAAATTTAATTTTATTGCTTTGATCAACTGCAGACTGTTAACAGACTTTATTAGTGAATTATTTTTCTTTAAATATGTGATTTTATGTTTTTTGTATTTAAAACTCTGTTAGTCAGATCAGTAAAGTTCAATAAACTATGAAATTATATAGATCAGAAAATTTCAATGAAATAAATCGAATGACAAGAGCACGAAATAAATGTATTATGTAACAGACTATAATCAGTCAGTCAGTCAGACTATAATCAAGTTGTCTTTAAATAACCAGCTAACTTAATAATTCATCTAATGACTAGAAAATGTCATTTCTACTTCGTGGAAAAAAAAGCGAACAGAAAACTGTCATGACGTAATATAAACCTGTAAAATTTATGTGTTACAACTGTATTATTAATGAGTAGTTAGTTTTTATTCCACTTTCTGTATATTTTTCATTAATCGTATGGGTTAATATAAACTTTATTGGTCCGACTACGTTGAACTATCTACGAGCTTATACGCGTTTCTGCGTTCGTTACCTTGCATGTAACTTTAACAAAAACTAACTATTATTGATTATAGAACCACTCCTTATTCATATATTTTCGTATGTAAATACTCTGGGAAGGTAAAACGATCTAATTACTTCAGTTGAGCTCATGTACGTAGTTTCGGTAAATCTATGAAGTCATATTATTTGACAAAATCACTGTGATAGTGACTATGTGTTAGGATCACCACGTTGCTATTTAGTGACAGACTGAAGACAGTAAATAACATTATTGCCGTTGATTGTCATTGTGAGAAAATTGTATGTTAAACAACTTTCTCAAAACTGAAATCAGTTTTAGTATTGTGGACTAACTTTTGTGAAATTTGGTGAATGTAAAACTCAGCGGTAGACAGAAAGACAGAAATAAAATAGCCGTAGAATAATATACACAAAGTGTTTTTTTTAAAATAAACTTACTTGTATAATCATACTTCTCAATTGTTCTTCAATATTTTCAACAAAAGTAAAATTTCTTAGTGCAAACTGCTTTAAGTGATCAGAATATTCCGGAGGATCAAATGGACATTCATCTTCATCTGAGTTAGGCAATATAGCATCAGAACTGTTCGTAAAACCTCGCTTCCAAGTGCTTGTATTAGCATATTGATTGGTTGCATGTGATTCTGTAGAACTAGTACAAGAATTGTCACAAGCTAATAGAGGTATTGGCTTTTGAGGATCATGCTCAGTAAATAGTGAATGGCTACCTGTCAATGGTGCACTGCTCATACTGCGCTCATGCTCCAAAAGTAGATATTGATTTGTATATACCTAAGATAAAGTTGTTAGTACATGTAGTTGTATTAACAGTTGTATATTTTAAAGTATCCCATAAAAACTTTTTTATCATGGTACCGTTCACCACTGTAAAAATTGGTCAAAAACAGAATGAATAGTTTCGTTTTCGTTCACAACTCAACCAGTAATATATCCATCACAAAATTATGAAATGTGATTTTATTACAAAAATTAATTCCAATTACAATCCAATGTACAAGATGTTTATTTTACAAGAATAATTAAAAGTTTTCATTTGTAAAATGTAGAATGGCGATACTACAATTTATGAACGAACCAATCAGATATAAAAGAATAGGTCTTGGATTTCGGTGCAAAATCCATTCATCAATTTGGCTAAATAGAATTTTGGTATTATAGCTGATGTCCCTTCGTGATGAAAACCCTAAATACCAACTGTAAATCTGATATGTGGTTTAACAGTCATGACTTTATATCTTGATCAAATACTGTTAACTTTTGTTGATTGTTTAGAACTGCAGGAGGTTTTCCAATCTACTTCAAATATTTAAAAATAAACTGGTACAAAATATAAGAAAGATCTCAATATATTTACTGGTAGTAACTTTCACTGACCAGATTTATCTATGTGATGTAAACTGGGTATAAAACTCAAGAACTAACTCAGGTGACTTGTTCATTGATGTCTAGCAAACCTGGTTAAAGAAGACTTTAAAGTTTCAATACAAACGTAACAACATATTAGATTAGACAAACTCTAACTTGGAATCCTGCAAGGAAACGGTAAAGAGAAAGACCAAAGAACACACTGAGTCGGGAATCGGGAGCAGACACCAGAAGGATGAACAGCAACTAGAAAACAATTACCCAGGACAGAGTTGGATGGAGAATGATGGTGGGTGGCCTATGCTCCTCCACGAGGGTAACAGACGTAAGTAAATATTACCAGTGAGTAACCATTTTTTATTACTATATAATTTCTCTTATGTTTTATTGGTCGTTTTATTAATCGTAGACCAACATTTCTCACAGTTGAGAAACTTTATATCTGTCGAGCCATATTGAACTAGTCATTTCTGTACTTGTCCATGGTGAAAGTTAACCGTTGTTACTGAGTTTCCCATTTTGAATGTGAGTTTTTTGTGGACTAAGCTATTTATTACTGATTGTGGAATCTTTTATTATTTTTATGTAATCATGTATAAATAGTCTAAGTAGCTAAAACAATCTACTGATTCTGATCGACCTCAGGATCATATTTCCCGTGAATCTAACGTAGAACCTGGCAGAAACATACATTGACACTACATGGGACATCATGTCAGCACTGCATAATTAAATTATAAAGGTGGACACTAAAGTAGTAGCAGTGATAGTAAACAAAAAGAATTAAATATAGAGAGCATAATTTAAGAAGAAAGAACCAACCACGTTTAAATTATTTTCAAACTCAGAATCTAGCGGTAGACAGAGAAATAATGTATTTGTAATATTATAACCATTTATGAGCTTATTAATTCTACGTCCTCAACAGTTGGCCACAACAATCGTGAAGACTCTAATAAAGTAGTTTGCACTTGCTAACGTGGCTCAAACTAACAATCAACGACATCTTTAACTGATGTGATGTCTCGATGAAACCGTTTCCAACTTATTCTCTTGCCAGCCAACATTGATAGAAAAATTATCTGGTTTTACGTCATTAAAAATTTATTAAGATTACCTGATGACATTGTTGCTTTTGTTTGAGATTGCCACAGCGACAGACGACATCTACTAATGCAGTACAAATCAATTGGCTTTCTGAACCGTGATTAGCAAAAGCCTCCAAGCATGATTGATTTCGAACTTCGTGACAAGGTAAACCACATGGATGTCCGCAACCAGGACGAGGTTTCTGACAGGGTTGGACGCATACAGTATTACATTCTTCGTCGGATGTAGTGAGATCCGAACAAGGACCGGCGTGACATTTACGCTGACAAAGATGCGAGCAACCTGAAAGTGGTTTATTGCAAATTCGACCACAACTTCGAACTTCTTGAAAACAAGGCACTTTAAACTGTACTCCGTGTCCTGATATGGTATGTGAAAAAGAATAAACGGTTAACATAGAGTAATAGAAACAATATTTCAGAAATCAAGAGATGAAAATCAGTCAGAAGTAAAACAGGAATAGATAATGAATGACTTGACAAGAATATGTAACGGTCCCGGTCACTAATTCAGTAAAACGAAAAAAGCAATACAAAAGATGAAAAACAGAGTGGACAAAATGTTTTTGACTATTGTGAAAAGTAAACAATAAAAATACATTTCAAACAAAACGAATGAGATCAAATAATTTCATTTATAAGATGACACCAAGTGAAAATTAAAAGAAAAATCAAGTGTAAATTTATCCGTGTCGCTTCAACTGATTTAGAACTGTATAACATAACGATTAATTTCTGAGCTGCCCCCGAATTCCCTGGTACGGCCGAGAGTAGGGAGAGTCATTTCTTCCCCCCAAATACTTACACATGGTCACACGCATACAACCACTGCCAGGGAAATCCTACCCACTGCCTTCTCGCAGCGGGGTTGTTGTTTACGAAATCAAGAGGACGAAAAGTGAATGTCCGGTGCTTTAAACCCGTTGGTAGATATGGAGGATCCACCCATGGGGGTTGGAAAACCCTAGTTCCAAACTAATGGTGCCTGTGGGCTCCAGGATCCTAAGAAAACAAATGGAGTATGAACCAATTTTTGGTCACCGGTTACCATGGGACTGCATCTCCTTACGTTGCTCCACTGCCTTGTGGGTCAGACCTTTCAATCAAAGGCTCAGGGGTGTGGCCCCCCAAAAAAACTAACCGCTTCGGTTTGGGCACCCGGGCAGTATTCCAGCCCTCACACAGATCGAATGATTTATGCGGCGCATACGTATTCGGTGCCCCTTTGTACCAATATTTATGTAAATAAATAATATATTTGTAATATCCCAATGAGTAGAAAATTAGATTTTCTGACGTTTCGTGACTTAGTGTAAGTCACTTCTTCAGAGAATAAATAACCTAATTAAAATTAATCACAGTTTTATTAGAAATTATCAAATCAAACCTTGGTAATGATACCTACAATATTTAAGTGTTCAAATAAATAAATTTTATGAGCCTCAAAACAGTCACTAATTCCATAAACTAGTGCCATGTTTAATCTCATTCTTCTTACCCTCCCTTCATTTTATTCCTACAAAAACAGGTCTCAACTGCCTCATTTCTATTTAAAATCATACATGTAACCTCAGCATTAATCACTTGGTAGTTTCACAGCATGTGAACAATGCATCACAGATATCGATAATCAAATATTTAAAACTTTCATCTATTCTGTGTTTTTCATAGCCCATAACTTTTTGGCAGTTGTAAAACCAGTATACAGCAAACTGATGCAGAATATACTCACTCTCTGATATCCATGAAAACCAATATATGTTAAAAAAACACTTGATATTTTACCGCAATCAGCTTAACGTTACTCAAAGTATACCAAATAATTTAATGGTTGAATTCATGAGTCAATTGAAGCTTGACCACCATGTGAAACCTAGAAGTACTAGATGACCGTTCCGTCCTAGTTTATAGCTCTTCAGCAGTGCGCATCAACGATCCCGCTTCGCGAGATTTGAACCCAGAATTTATCTGTTTTGTGCGCGAGCGCTTGACTACTAGACCACTGAGCCAGCACCCAACGGTATTAATGTCTAGCTTCAACCAATCCACGAAGTTGTGCCACCGTTCAGGTTTCCCAAGGTGGTCTAACTGCAATTGACTCATGAATTCAACTATTAAATTACTATATTATCTACAAAACCTCTCTCTGAATATAAAAAATACTTATATTTAGTATGTAAATTAGAAAGTACTAATTAGGTTATAATTAGTATATAAAATGTAGTTATACTACACTCATATTGGAAAAATGAAATAAAACAAAAAGAAACAATATAGAGATTAAATCTTTAGAACACAAAAGTTTACATTATCGCTATTAATTTACTTATGTAAGTTTATATAAATAACTAACTAATGGGTACAAAAACCAATCAGATATTGATTTAAGACATTTTCTTTCTGTAGATTGATTGTATATGTTTTGGATTTACAAAAAAATGATTTAACACACATGATTCATTTAATCAATTTTACAGATGACTTTACTATAGTGAAAAGTAATTAAAAGGTGAGACTATAAGTTGTGGACGACCTTTGAACAATACTAAAGTGACCTTGAGAATATCCACCTATTAACTAAGACTAAATGAGGGTTACAAAACAGTTTGAGGAATTACAATTATGATTTATGGTTAATCATTAAGGTTATGAATTAGATTTAGGAGTTTCATCACGAAGGGAAATCAATTATAACGCCAAAATGCTATTTAGTCAAATGGATGAATGAATTTCGCGCCAAAATCTAAGATCTGTTTTTTATATCTGATTAGTTCGTCCATAAATTATAGTCTCACCTACTCAAACAACACAATCCATAAGTGTAGCAGAAACGGATGATGTGTTTAGTCCCAAACTGACTCTGCATAGGCTTCAGATAAGTGATTACGAAACACATTTTAAAATGACAAGTTGACAGATTATTATTAAATAATCCTTCGCTGCAATCTTCAATAACAGTATCTGCGATGTAGCACGAGCCAAATTAACGCGTGGCTTTAAGAGAGTAATCAATAAAAGTCTCAAAACAGTTTACAGATGACAAAATTATTGAACAGTGAAAAGCTCTTTATGAAAATAAACACTTTAATAAAAATGAGGAAGAGTATAAACCAAATAGAAATTGATGTGTCTATGAAAGTAATATATAGATGCTAAATATAAAAGACTGCTTTACATGTAAAAATAATTCCAGAATGATTTTATTGTTGATTGCTTTGTACTTCGTGTGAATAAAATATCGTTCTGGTTCAATTTTAATCTAGATAGTTGTTGAATTGTCTGAGTTCACGTAATCCAGCCTAGTGTTTGGTTTATTAATGCAATCAGCAACTTACCAGTGGTAGGAACAATTCAAATCAAATTGCTTTTGTTATATAATAAATAAAACAAATATCTAGGTCAGTATCAATTGAACATATTTATAATTAATTTCTGTTTAGCTCTTTGCGCTTGAGTTTAAAGAGCGAGATATTATTATCTCCAATTCTACGAAAAGATGGCATCGAGCCTCTTGATAAGTATGCATGAAGTAAGTGAAAAAAGTTGTTTTTCTAAAAGCAGTTGTATGTTACTTATCGGCCCTTTGTGGTACAACACAAAGGAGAAAGTTGACAGTTGTTTAGGAACCGCAGAAAAGCACTTATTTTGAAGGCCTTAAGGTTAAACAACACATGCAGTTTCAGTGTAGCTAGATATTAAGGAGAAGTAGGAAAATAACTAGTTAGAAGTACAAAAGAACTATGATAATATAAAATTTCGCACAACGAAAACCACCTCATTTTGTTTATGACTAATCTTATTCTCACTCAAAGTGCTTCTACAGAACTAGGTAACAAAACGTGGGTTAACACTAGAGGATGGAAGTTACTACAATGCTTATGTATTTGATTAGTTTTATAAAAGGTAGTGGAAATCGGATAGGTGGGGTCAATAGTCAAATATTAAAAGGTATTAAGGTATACGTAAATTCAAAACGCTTGTGGTACAGATATGAAATCTTCTGATAATGAAATATAAAGCATACAATGTTTCAACAAATATATATTTTCAGTGCTTTTACAGATTATAAGATTAATCTTTAGTCAGTAATAAAGAAACAAATCTGTTCCGATTTGGGTTACCTTTGCCGCCTTATATTTTGTCTATTGATATATCGACAGCTTATGTAATAACACAATGTTCGCCAACTCAATGAATTACTAGTCGAAACTATTAACTGATGACGTGTCAACTTGATATAAAGGATATGTAAAACTAAAACAAAACCTTCAACATCAGTAAAAATCATGCATAATTCAACATATTTTCAAGTTTATAAAAAAGATTTAATCTATTTACTCAGTAGTCAGTGTGGAGAGTTAACAGTTGAAAATATTAATACTAATCAAAAGCAACAGTAATTACGCTTACCTCCTGGACAAACTTTATTCATTATGACTGTACAAGGTGGACACTTAGGTTCCATATGACACGTATGTTTAACTGGATGATCACAATTATGTGTGAGACTACAAGGTTGATTACATTCAGGTGCACTAGATCCACAGGGCTGTGGGGGATGCAGTATCGTGTGACCACAACGGCATGCTAGTTCTGAATAAATCACACCACGCCAACAAGAATTGCATGGGCCTGAATGACACTGTTCTTCACAATGATGTAGTTGGCAAGATAATCGACGGCCACAGATTTCAGGGCATGAGTGCATAGTATCCTGAAATTCATAAGCGATGGAAATGGATGACAACAATTGAAATGAAAACAGTATTTTGAGAATCCAAGATCGCTTAAAACCTTTAAGCCGTAAGAATGTGCCTACCGAACAACTGTACTTGAGTGTTTGCCAGCTGCTACTCACCATTTTTAATTTTCCATTTCAGTCGGATGCTCTAACAATGTAAAGATGATTTCATTAGTTTAAGTCCTACATTCACAGACACCTGTTTATATACTACAGCTAGAAGAAATCCATATTGATGGTAAGCAAAGGTTTAACCTTCTTTACAGATATAACAGGCAAAATTATCACGAATACACTACGTGTATCGACTGTCATATAAAAGCATAAATCCAACCTCGTAGAGGAACCCTTACTATTTAACTAACTGTCAATAATCAGATGACATCATTGTGCAAAACGCTACAGCGTTATGATATAAACGACAGTGAGGACAGGAACCGTACGCTTTTTATCAGTATTACTACCTTTTAAAAATAATATACATTGGTATATGTCCACAAAAAAATTAAGTTAAAGTCACAAATGATTGAATTGCTAAAATCTCTTAATTCACGGTGGAGAATTCACAGTTTATACTAATGCAATGGGAAATTCGTAAATTCGTGTTTGGCATTAGGAAAAAACCTAAAGTTATAGAGTTATTTAGGAAGCTATTTAGTCCGGAGAAAAAGATGCTTTGTTTTACTAGGTAGTAAATAGCTTTTAAGCAGACGACAGGAAACCCTGAAACTAGGTTTCATGCTATTCGACACTCGTCAGTACGGTGTCCCTGAAATCTTGAGGGAACTAATACCGCCTGACGGATTCAAATTCGAGTCATCCAACCTATCAAACATTACCACTGAACTTTTCTAGTTCCAATTGCTCTCAGCTACATCCAACCATCTAATATCAATACACAAAGCATGCAAAAACGAGTTATTGATACCAGTGACAACATTGTGACTTGGTAGATAGAACTCGATCAACGCTAAAACAAAAAATGGTTATTACCCAGTGGTCAATTAGTGCAGATGTTCCAGTTTAATGGGTAGTCAGTCGTGATCTGAATAGCTCAGTGATGACGTTATAGGCTGCGAAACTGGGTGGCCAGGGGCTCAGGCCTACCAGGTAGCATCAGTGCCCTCAAAATAGCACATACCTATTGCTGATGTATACCAACTAGCATGACATCAAGATCCAGGTTTTCCTGCCAACTACATTCAACCAATTAACGTTAGAACGTAGTGTATGCAATATCAAGACTGGTAGCTAAATTGCAAATTGATCAATGGAATTCGATCAACACGAAAGACTATACAAACATGACATTGAATATTATTCAGTGATCACTGTAACTAAATATCTATCGAGTTATCACTATAACATGAGAAAATGTTATATAATGAACTTACTTAATTTAAAACTTACATTACAACATAATGTTTTGCATTTATGTCGACCACAAATTAATTTCTTCTTACATATGCGTTGACAACAGAGTTCAGGAACGCCTATAAAATTTTAATGATATATCTTGAGATAACTTGCAAGTGAATACAATATAAAAACAATTTTTGTATACTTTTTCGTATATAAAAGGCAACTATCAATTTATTCACAACCCTAGTCACCTTGTACCACTGAATTTACATGACTGTTTTTTTTATTGTTAAACAACATATAACTGTAAAAACCGACTGACGATAATAAATAATAACCGTTCATATATATATATATATATATATATATATATATATATATATATATATATATATATATATATATAACCTTCACAATAAACTTACTTCTTGCAATAGATGATTAGAAGTTGAAAAAGTGTACACAATAACAAGGACACTATAGATGATCTCTCGATGATTTTATAAGAACCCATGGGAATATTTGTTTAATAATGTCAAGAATGAGATAATTATCATAAATGACATAAAATGAACAATGTATCACATTACTAATTGATCGAAGTGAGAAATATGAACCAGTATGAAACTCAATGATTCACAGATATCATGTTTGAGATAAGACTCACATGTTCTCGGTTCGACCACAAACTGGAATGTAGATGTGTACTATTAAGAAGTTTAAAACTATGGTAAAACAAATGACCAGTGCTTTCACTGGTTTAACGACTAGTGTTAATTCCTGAAGAGAACAATTTCCAAATTGAATTAAGATATGTTCACTTCAAAAGTATGTTTGAATGATAGACCAAAATGAACATGACTGATTAAATATCTGAATAAATTTCACTTTTATAATTTATCATAAGATATTAATAGGTCAATCAATAAAATGTATTACTGCTTAAAGTAGAAAATATAAACAATTACCTTCTTTATCTGATAATTTAGAGAACTCTTGACATGTCATTACTTTTGAACTTTGTCCACAACGACATTTCAGTGAAATAGATAATTCACATGGAGGACAAGGGCCAGTATGACAATATTCTGAACATGTATGACCACATAGTGATCTAGGACGCCCACAGATATTAGGACAAGTAGGTAGAGGATCCGTACAAGATTTTCGATTGCCGTATAAACAACCTGTTGATACCTATAGTGAAGAATTCATGTAAAAAATGATCGATTTTTCTGTAACCAAATAAATATTAGACACGAATATGTTACAACAGTAAGAAAGGTACAACAAAAACTCAAATATATTTCCAAAGGATTTATTGTAGATATAAAGTGCGTTTTACAAAAACAAAACCATCACTCAAACATGTTAGAAATATTGATTTAAGCCAAACTCAACAATTACCGATTACCGCTTAATAACAGAACTACTACTACTGTGGTGTATGCCACTCGTGCTGACAGATATAAGTAGTATGTAACAGGAGTCGGAAGTGGAATGCCAGTCAACAGAAGAATGAAATGAAGAAGAGAGAAGGGAAAACGAAGAGCACTTGAAGTAAAAAAAGAATTGGAACAATCAGGAAATATGTAAAGGACAACTGAATGAAGGTACCTAAATAATGTATTTAATGTATGATTTTCGCATTTTGCATAAAATAATAAATCGTTTTATCCCACCTGTGTCTTCGTTAACTACACTGCTGCTATACTAGAAAAGTGGGGAAACAGAAACCTTGGATAATAGAGTACACTAGTTGATGCAGTTACACGTAGTAAAAGGACAACGAAAGATTATCAAAAGAAACGAGAAAAATAATAAAATGAATTAAAAATGAGCATAATTAGACGGAGGAATAAATAAGCGGAGATGAGTTAAATCTGCAAATATTAAAGGAGTAAGGTATCTTCCCCATTATTATCTATGTTGATCTTCATTACTTAGGGCCGTCAACCATACACTGAAGAAAATCGTATACGACACATAATAACAGTAAATGATTACTTAAGATAATGTCATTTGTTTCGTTTATTCTTAAGTATATTACGACCTAATTCTCATATAGGTAATATTAAGTAAACGTTCTATAGCTGAGTTTATATTCAGTTGGTGACCCACGTATCAAGGCTGACACAATTCTATAGACGGATAAGTAAGACAAGTAATCAGCATTGTAAATAATAAATTCATTTCAATAACAAATACATTATATAGCTATGGATGAGGATAAGAGTTATTCAATGCTTTATGAACTCATAACGAATCAATAATTGAACTTTACTTGAATTAGATTAACTTATTCTCCAGGTATTTAAGTATGAGAGCTAATGATATCGATAGATTAGCTGGATTGAAGTAGGTGTAGCGGGTTTTGAACATGGGACTTAATTGCTGAAATTTAAACGTCTAAACTACAGAGAGCCACCGCCCTATTAATCAACTAGTCAAATTTTATTGACCAGACTGACGAGTGAATCATATTTCTTTAAACCAAGGAAATAATAACTACATATCATAAATATCAAGCATTCAAACTACACCAATATAAACTAACCAATTTAGTGAGAGGTGTTTTTCCACAAGGACAAGTTAAACACCATGCCGGATCAAGCGCACACGGTGGACATTCTCCAGAATGACAAAATTTCGAACACTTATGATTGTTGCAACTTAATTGACGACCACACACACGATTACATGAGAAAGTAGGACCAATTTTAACCAATAGTAAATCAGATGAAATAATTTGTTTATTATTATCATCAATTATTCTAGTCGAATCAGTATTATGGGTATCAATTTTGGATAATTGAGGGGATAAACTATTGTTTAAATCATCATTAGCATGTAATGATAAGTCATCAGTAATTGAAATTTTCTGGAGTTTTAAAATATCAGAATAATCGTGACTGGTTATTTTACTTTGAAATTCCACAAAAGCAGTACGTAAAGTTTGTAAATCTTTCTGAGAAAAAGTGCATTTTCGTATTTCATTACTGCCACAAATCAACTTTACACTATTATTCTGACCACAAAAACAAGCTATAAAAAAACAAAACAAAAATAAATCATTATGAGCGAAGATGGATATTAGCTAGCAGTGGTATCCAGTGCACACATTTCATCCTAGTTGGGACTCATCAGCTGAATGTACCTGCAACTTGGAGTTGATGTTCACTCCGTGACTTGATTCAAACGATCAACACAAAAATGAATTATATGTAAAGAAAAAAGCATTGAAATTCAATACAAATGTAGAAATTTATGACCAGTAATACATTGAATGATAATACCAGCTGAAAATTCTATTATTTAGAATTATTTATTAACGTTATCTTGTTTGATAATAGATTCCAGTAAAATAAAGTGTTTTATAACAATGTCAATGGTTGAGATCATGAATCGATTGAGGCTGGACCATCATGAAAAACTCGGAAGCACTGGACGGCAGTTTCGTTCTATTGTGTGACTCCTCAGCAGTGTGCATCCAATCAATTATCAGACTTTCACTCAGTGTCTTCTTATTGTCCAAGTAACGGGTTACTTGAAGATAGAAATCAGCGGGTTATAGAGACCGTTAATGTAACTAGTTCACTTAATGAATATCGGACTAATCACCTTTTGACCAATAGTTTAATGACTACGAAAACCGACGAGATAACCGTGATCCCTATTGGACCACATACTCATTCTAGCTCACAGTACAATCAAAAGATAAAGATAGTAAAAGGACTTAAATGTCTGTTATTCTTTATTCATCATGACTCAAAAACTCATAGACTTATAAACATTGATTATCTGACTTACGGTATCACAAATAAGAAATTAAAATATGTACATGACTAAGACATAAGTGATACGAAATTGAGTAATAGGCCCATAATTAGTAAACGACAGTTTAGGGATGGTAGCACATAAAACAATACCTTAGAAGTCAGTAGGGAACTTACAATTAAAGGAATAAATAAATATCATAACCCACGTACTAAATAATTATATATATATATATATATATATATATATATAACAGTATTCCGTAAAATAGTCCCGAAAGTTTCAGCTCTCCTAATTGCTAACTATAATCTACCAAAACTAGTTCTTCACAATTTTCGCGGTGAACTTTTTACTAAGCCGGAGGTTTTACTGAGAATTTTGCACAACTGTTCAGTTTGCTCCTCAAGAAATATTACTACAGAAAGTAGGATATGCATTAAATCTGTGTGGAAATGATCAAACTTTCATTATCGATCATCTAAAAAGATACGAATATCTTCCTCAGTTGAGTCGAATTTCAATAAACGCTTTAAAAAAAAACACCGAATCATATAATATGCATTTTAAGTGAGGAGATAAATGCCAAGCACAAATGTGGAACTAAATAGATGAAGGAAATACAAAGTATTGGTACATTTCTAATTTTAGTTAAATTACAACATGATATGATCTTCACTCCATTCTATTAGTAAAGAATTGTTTGACTTTTGACTTGGTTGGTGAAAATTCGCTACAAGCAATTCATACTATGAACTTTTATTGAATAATTGCTGAAAGCCAAGGGTATCCTGTTGGCTGTTTCGTTTCAGTTTAAGATTTCGTAAAATTTCCAAAAATCGATAAAGTAAAAATGGTAATACTAAAGTAGCATGGGTTGGTGAGGCTAAAATTTATGGACGACCTTTGAACGACGCTAAAGTGACCTTGAGAATGTCCGCCTACTGATTAGGGCTAAATGAGGGTTATAAAGCTGTGTGAAGAATAAGGATTATGATTTACAGTTGAGGGTTACGAATTAGATCTAGAGTTTTCATCACGAACTGACATCAGCTAAAATGCTAAAACGTTATTTAACCAAATGGATGAATGAATTTCACGTCAAAATCACAAACCTGCTATCCTAAATCTAATTGGTTCGTTCATAAATTATAGTCTCTTCACATGGGCTTACTGCTTAATTTATTATTTGATATAACATAAGATTCAATAATATTAAATCCTTAAAAGCAAAATGTATACAATCGACAAATTAAACGACTATAATCAACAGTAATTTAGAATTTAGACACTAACACAAATAATTAAAGTGTTTTTGTTTGTATATAGATAATTCATAGGATTAAAACTGTCAATACAAAATATAATATATATTGTACCTGTTTCAATTGTCCACTGACAAGGATTACAAGAACCATAATGACAAATTGATAAACATGTGTGAAAACCAGTTGCGCAATTAGATGAAAGCTGGCGTTTACATATTTGACCACAAGGTTGAAGATTAGGATCACCACAAGTAGCAGAACGTTGAGATTTTCCACATGGGCAACTCAAAGTGATAGTTGCTAAACATGGAGGGCATGGACCTGGATGACAAAGTCTATAGGAATGAAAATAGACTATAATGAAATTTTATTGTTGACATTATTTCGTTGATAAAAAAATGTTTAGTTTTTACCTGCAAGTAATTAAAAATAATTAACTCAAAAATTGATGAAAAACTCTCGATATACAAAATGGAAATCAATAATTAAATGCATTTGTCACATCATAGGAAGGTGTTAGCGGAACAGATTGGATTAAATCATGCTCAATGCACGCTGATTGGCTAATTCTTATCCAATCAGTGCTACTCGATACTTGGAGAAAACTAGAAATCTCATGTAAAAACTATAAATATACTAACGTTTTTCCCATTGTGCTTCTTACTTCTATCTAGCCTTGTTGTTTGGAATATAATCTCTTTCCTGTTTAACCGTGTTATGATTTGGGGACTTTTCGAGTGAATTGGTGTCCGAGAATACTAAGCAATAGGAATAGCAACAACTGTTTGATAAAAACTCGTCAAAGAAATACAAACTAACTCACCAGTTAATAACTACTCAAGTTTCATATTCTTTCTTTATCACCTCTCAAAATTAATGTTTTACACGTATTTCCTTTCTATCTTAGTCCACTTTATCTTACCACTTTTGTTAGTTTTGTTTCCTAATATTCAGAAATAAGACCTTTGTAATCAAAGAGTTCCCGTTAGAAGTTGTTTTTTTTCTGTATAGCTTCATATGCGTTTTCGATTTACAGGCATAATTTATAACTTACCACAACACATTCGTTTTGGGATGTTTTCTCCATAACTTCGAAAACCTAACTATCCATAATTTTCAGCCAAATCGAAGTTAAAAAAGAAATGCGCTTAGAAAGTGATTCTGTTTATTTAACCAAAATTACTTGACATAAAATGTTATAATACATAAGTTTGAGCATCGTTAAACTCACTCTGTGCAAAGATGAGTGCACCGATAATCAGACAAACTGGATGCAAGAGTTATACGTTTCACTTTATTGCAAACCTGGTCACAACCATGTGGTATTGTCATACGAGCAGGGTGAAATTCAGGATTTTCAGTGCGTCCACAAAAGCATCGGTAAGAAATTAGTTTGGGAGACAAATCATAATTTGTTTGACAAGATGGACAGCGCCAAACGGGAGTTGAATCAGATTCGATGTTAGTTTCCTGAAATGATTTTTTGGCCCAAGACCTAATGCATGATAGATGGTAAATGTGATAACAGGTAGCACATGACCATATTGGGTCAGAAACACGAATTTCTGAAATGCATACCATGCACTGATATGTGCTATTGCGCAATCCATCGATAAGGTTACCTGACCAATAGATATAATAAATATCGCCATAAAATGTAGGCACTCAAAAAGGGACGAAAACAACGTGAACGATAACTACGTAAAACATACATCCAGTTAACATCCAGTGACTGAGAACAAGATCAATAAACAAAATAAACATGAGAAATCTGCAGGAACTGCTATTACCAATCACGATTAGGGATGGACGTATACGTATAATAAGGAGTCGTTATTTATATATACGCAAATGCTAGCAGTTATTAAATTATGAAAGACGGAATAACGTCTAAATCAAAAGTGCTTAAATGAAAGTATTCATCGGGGAATCTGTTTTGATTTCGATATACAAACAGATAGGAAGTACTATCCTTGAATAGGAATAATTAGGAAGACTAATTACCATAACAAATCCTAGTCGTAAAATTTAGTTCGATACTGTTTGTGAAACACAGAGACAGGATCATAATACAAATTGTACGTGCCTCTTTGGTGAGATCATTTATTTAGTTGTAGAACTTATAAGTTATTGCAAGCGAGCTGCAATTCATTGGAGCAAAGATATAGTTGAATATGATAAATCACGTCGATCGAGGATTTCAGTCTATTATTGCAGTTTTCCTTAATAATGTTCTGGTCAGTTAGACCTACTTTGCTTTTACCTATCGGAATTACACCGACGTCAATGTTAAAGGGTATCAAAACAGATGTACAAAGAACATCAATTTGAAGGAGGATTGGGTAAAGATGTGTTCAGATGTAATTTAAAACCAAAACTGATAAATAATTTGCAACATTTTCCGTCCTATAAATGATCAATTACAAAAAGAAATGAGAAAGACACTCTCTAAATATATCTTTTGACTATTTCTGTTTTAATTATTCCGTTGTTTATTATTTATTTCGTGGGTTATTTCTTTAGGATCCATTGTATCGTTTTTTGATTATATATCTCTTGATGCAAATAATGTATCACGTTTATATTTATAGAGAAGCTGCAAGAAATCGACTCACTTCTTAAATTATCATGATTTTTGGGTTCACAATTTACTTTCAAATTAGAATTTGGTCGTTGCCGAACAGACAAGGAGGCATCATTTTCTGAAGAACCAGCTTGAACTAGGTAGGTGGACTCAACCGAATAGTTTGGATTGGTTGAAGACTCAGAGGTTGATAGCGTCCCAATAATTTGATGGCCACCAGATTCATATCTAGGATATGGAAAACCTCTTCTGTGGTCAGAGTTTCTTGAAGTAAGGCATGAAAAGCCACTGACAGTTATCCAGTGATTATTTCTCCTATACGGATAGCGAAGGCGGTCACATGGTCTATAATGGTTACGATGTTCAGATCCACTGTTAAAATTATCTGTTATTGAACTTGGATATCCATAGGCAGGTGTTGATGTTACTGGACGAGAAGAGGCACGATGAGTGGTCCCATTTGCTTGACGTATATATCTGTTACCTCTATATAGACGTGGATTGTTTCTGGCGTCAAGATACATTCTGATAACCGATGTTGAGAGATCCAAGCAAACGTTTTTCACTTAAGGAGGATTATCAGAAAAGGTATGTTTTAAGCATGCAAAGTCTGTATTCAACCTTATCTTTTTCAAATTAGATAAACATATGACTCACATAAGCAACTGCTTAGAGTCCTAGTGATGCTATGAGTGCAAAGTAATGTCCGAAATCTAAAGTTAATTTTCGAACGTTATTCTGTAACCGCTGCTCAGTACGGGCACAACAGAATAATAGTGAGCAAGGTAAGGAGTATAAAATGTAACAAAATGCACGTGTAGTTTTTATCATAACACAGAACCGCGAACGCGTAAGACATACAGTTCCTAAATTTAAGTACCATTTCGACTTTCAGAAGAATTAGTAAATCCCGCGTTCTTTGCATTTAACAGAAATTAATTGCCTACGTAAGCTGGCTTACAAATATCATGAGTTCAGTTGACTGTGCTCCAACCAACAGATTTCTTTATCCAACTTACTTTGTAGTACAGTATACATGTCACTTAGCGCTAGATTGAGCTCTTAACCGTGCTCATTAAGAAACTTACGAGGCTCAAAACTGAGTTAAGTATTAAACTATCAACACAAATGAAAAAAATACAAAAATGTCAAAATTGGTCAGCCGTGAGTGGTGCATTTGGGTGACAACTTCTCAGTTGGTTTCGCCGTTAAACCAAACAGTGGCGATGTGGCAGAGGTTACAATGTAACACATCACTACAATTCGATGTTAACAAGACTATGTAAATCGTACACATTATTTATCACATCCGAAACTGTTTTCAGTATACTGGAAGCCACTCATTATAATAAGCTTGGTTTAGAAAGGAAGCATGAGGTGAAAACGCTCAATGTCCCCAAGGGGATAATCACAGGATATCAAGTGCAATAAATCTCGTTTTCCAGCTATACAAAGGTCCTAGCACAATAAATACATCTTAAAGTTACTCTTAGCAAAAACGGAACTTCAGCTTTGCTATGGAAATTTAGTCAGTAATATATATCACTCAGGGAGTTTCACTTAAAAAAAACAAGTCATAACAGTTGAATAAACCCAACAATTTGAAGGTCCGTGCAGCCTCGTAACAGCTTTGTGTCCCGACAATGTTAGTATTAGGTTTTTAGCAAGGGAACTTACAACAGAGTCAAACGATTTTGGGAATAATTTATCGAAGCATTTAATTTGAACCTGTAATCAGGTCGTATTTCTGCTATAGCTAATTCAATACAACTCATAGCAGTTGGTTCAACATATTTTTATTCATGATCCGATAAAAAAATATAATGATTAACTAGTGCGTCTAATTAGATAAAGTTAAAGTGGTTGATGGTAAACGGCATTGTTGTAGAAACCTGTTTGTGAATGCGATGAATTTGAATGAAACCATAGGACTTCTCTCATATTAGTAGCAAACACCTATTTGGAGAGATTTGGCTCTCTAAGCTTACGAAACACCTGACTGTAGATATTATCAGATTGTGTAACACAAACACTGAACAACCAAAATAACGCAGACGAACTCAAGGTGGGATAACAGAACATGATCGTAACGAAACAACCATGAGCAAACAAAAAAAAAATGGAAAATAACAGCGAATACGATAGATGAAAAGGGACATTCCTTAATGAAATAGAGAAGACATAGAGAAATTCCTTTCACGTTAAAGCTGAGCCACATGTCTACTTTGTTACCTGCCAAGGGCAAGTGACAAAAAATTCAAGAGTTCTTTACTCTTTCATTTCTATAACACTCGCGAATTAATAATTATCTACCTTTTTTAGCTTGCCTGAAGTTTTATGTTTCTAGACTATTTTTATGCTATTTCCCTACTAATCTTCCGAAGTATGACCGGATTTTATCGACTAAATTTTGAGTAGTACGTGACTCATCCAAATATAACTAATACATATGACGTATAAATTAAAGTCAACTGATGTATGTAATAAAAACAGCTGACGTACACTTTAAAACTCCTCACATATCCAATATCCAATATCCTTATCACGAGTTTCTATGAGCCTACTAATTTCTCTGTGTTCTCTTTTTATTGCTTCGGTACAGTTCCAGGTACTTGGTAATGTTCAATGGGTTGTAGTCTAATCACTCGAATTCACTAATTCCAATCAAAGTGCTAGTAATGTTTGGTTGTGTTATGTGAGTGAATGCGTTCGTCTCGAGGTCGTAGTTTTATTGGATACCAGCAGCTATCACATTGCCTGAGAGTAGGTTGGTTGGTTGCATTGTAAAAAGTAATAGAGTGATAACTCGAATGCTAACGAAGACGATTGTTTCCAGAATAGTTAAACGGTCAATTAGTTGATGATATTTAAGAACAGGTAATTGAGAGAACGAGAGAGAAGACGGAGATGATAATGAGCGAAATAGGAATCAGTTACTGATAAATATTAATAATAACGGTAGTTAAGTTACGAGACATGAATCAGACACAGATGGTTCAACCGAAGATGATAATCAATGCGTGAGTATATGCTTATCAACTCCCTACTGCAAGCTATCCACTGAGGGGGCTTTGATCACCTCAACTGAACGAACAGTCCAAAGGAGATCGACTTCTAGTGAGAAGTGAGGGAATAGCTGTTTTTTGTTATGTGACGTGCAATTTTTCAGAGGTTGCCTCGAGGATTGTAATGTTCTGGTGGGATGTTTGTGCTAGAGTGGCTTGACGTGGTTAGCATGTTCTGTGCGATTATCATATCACTTCCGATTTTCCTAGAGCCCAGTAGCAACAATCCTAGATATTAGAGTCTGACTTCATGATATTTATCCTTCAGTTCCATCACCCACTTGGTGACTCGTCTCTGTACTTAGTTAAACAGATTAATGTCTTCCTTAAAAGAGGGATTCTAAATGAAGAGAGGCCTTTAATGGTCTACCCCATCACATAATGCTCCTCTATGGCAGCATCTGTTAAGTTGTCCAGTATCCATACCTAGTAAACCCAAAAGTTATTCTGAGTTATGCGATGACAGTCATATCAAGGAAATAGGGGAATATTCGTATGAATGACCATTTGAACTTACTAGCAATTACACTGGTGGATTCGACACTTTAAAATTTGATAAAGACGTTGAACAAGTGTCTTGCTTATTAACATCATAGATATTATCAGCCATATATTTTTGATCGTTGTCAATGAAATAGTTTTATCCTATGTATTTATGTAACACGTATCGCCTCCTGTGAAAAACTGTATTGTGTAAGTCTCACTTGGTGTGGATGATTTCGTTACTTAGTTCGTCCGGAGACAAGTACGTTCAGACTTCTATACACTAAGGAACCGGGAAAATAGGACGCCCAAATCCAGTGAAAAAACAAAATGTTCATAGTGCGTACGTTGCCATAAGATGCTCATCAAGTGTTTCAGCAATCCTATTAATTCATACAAGGTCTTTGTCAGACGAAGTGGGGAGTAGGAACGACCGGTCATGTTGCATAAGCCATCCTAGCCAGATGCATTTGTAGAAATGGCAGAAACGGTTTAATACAGCTTATGCATTGATATACCTAGAAAATGTCAGCACTTTACGATCCGAACGACTCTGCAAACCTCTAATTCAGTAATTGATAAATACCCTAGACTGAAATTGTTATATAATGCAAGTAGGAGTTTGGAGTGTGGAATTCCTAGACTTTGTCGTCGCAATCCTTGATCTAGCAGCCCTGGCAATCAGCGAAATCCGTTCCATAAAAACACAAAATAACCTGGTTTTCATGGGAATTTTTATCAACCAGGTTACCTAATAACCTTGTATATTTTGTTAAATAGCACTATTATTTATCGGTGACTATATTTTCAACCCAGTTGAACAAGACTGTATATTGTTAGAAAGCACTTAATTTTCGATCTCGACGATTTCGAACAGTCGTGGTTTGTGTTTCATTTTAGCCTGTGTGTTCTTGCCGCAAAAATTTATACATTACGCTGTTTCGGATGAAAAATGCCGCTGTAGGATCAATGGGACGACATTAAACCCAAACCAAGTAATCCATCAGGCTTAAAAATTGCGTTAGACCTCGGGTCTTTGGGCTTCAGGCAGTCTACCGAACAGCGTCAAGGTCGAAGATGACCAACATTTAATAGCCATTTGTACGTCATAGGCCGGCCTATGTAGTAGTGGTCGCACTCTGTATTGCTCTAGACAACGCGCACAAATGCAATTCATGTCATATTTGTTTCATACATTCGTCCACAGAACACAAATACGACGGAAGGGCAATCCACGTCCAATATTAACCACGAAATATGATTTCGCCGTAGGCTTGGAGGTTTGAAAATCCTCGTCCAACTAAAATAGACCACAGTTACTCACACAGATAATTTAAATTGTCGATCTATTCCGTGATCGATATGCTGATGGTCACTACTCAAAATTCAAAACACAGTTTATATAACCTATCTGCTAATCACTGAGACCGAAACGAAGGGACAATTAAAGGTGACAGCTTTAATGATGGCAATCATTATCCACACAATAAAATCTGCTTGATACAGGTAAATATTTTACGAGTATTTCTCAGATAATTGGTAGTGACGAATAACCTCTTATTTCTGTTTGACATTCAACTCACCAACGCGGTCCAAGCACGGAAATCTAAATAACATTCTGTAAGACTTGAAATCACTAAATATGAGTAAAAAGACATATAAGCATTATATAGATGAACGCCGGTACAAACAAAATCAGTACATTAGAGAAATATCTTTTTGTCACTTTATGTGTGGCATATACTTCCCATCCATACGTCCTTGTATCGGTGATGCCAATTATTTTCCTAAACTTGGACTTCGAACTTGCGATTTAACTAACGTACAATGTTGCGTGCCGTTTCTGTTAGTATCAATATATTCACAAAACAAACGGTTGTGTAGGCGTTTCACTGTGACTGTGACCATGTTAGCTGCACTAAGCACCAACTTCAACATGTGCTTGTTTTCACTATGTTGGAATAGAATTTTGACGATGAAGTGTGACTGTCCAGCCAAAAGGATTCCAAACAGTCCTCTTTTCTGCTTAAAATAACGCGGTAGATGGATTGAATTTATTCAATCAAACTTCGGAGATTACTGAAACCCAGAGCAACTATATTTTACCGGTTACTAGATTCAATATTTAGATCTCCGTAACACACATGCTTTCTTGAACCGCGAACCTTGGCAGATGATCACAAACTCCTTAAACATTCCTTTACACGTGGGATTTCAGTCATAGAGAAGGGAGCTCTTATACCCTCAACAACTCAACCGCAAACTGTAAAAAGTTCTGTGTATGTTCTAGCTGAGACCGACTACTTAGCAACTGCTTCAGGAAACAAATACGCGCAAACGCGTTCGCGATAGCTGAACTAACATCTACATATAACTCATATATATTAAAGACGCAATAAATGATGTCTATCTCACTGATACTGGAGTAAAAGTTAATGCCCTTCCTGTGAATTCTACGAATCGGTAATGCAAGTGCGGATTCGGTCTTCAGACACCCATCCGCAAATTGATAATCAACAACTGAGAAAGCTATATTTACACAAAGGCAGCTCAAACAGACCCATTCCTAGGTTGTTCCTTGGTCAGAAATCTCAGTGCATACTATTGGAGAGGACTTGCCTGAACATCATAATTAGCTGATTAATCTGTTAAAACGAAAGTTTGGTTGACAGGAGAACTAGACCATCTATTTCTGATGCACTGGTTTTTGGCCGTGATTATGCTCAACCCGAATTAAACACAAAATTTTCCCGTACTTTCAGCTTGTGTTAAGTAGCTATTAGGAACCTCTTAGAATCATCGAGGAAAGCGTTTTGTGCGGCTGACAGCTTTACGTAATACATAGCAACAAAAGCACAACCTGCATTTTTAAACAAAGAATTTATCTATGGCATGAACAAACGTAAAAATGTGAGCAAACTTTCATGTGGGTTGCCAATAATAGGAAGCAGCCAAACATGATAAATTTCCATCATATTCTTCTCTTGTCTCCCAAAAACATATGTTCCGTTTCGCACGGCGACTAAGATCATTAGTTACCAAAGCAATACTGTTAAGGCGGTAGCGTGCACCTACTTTGTACAACGAAACTCAAACTTTTGTTGCCGAGCAAATGTCTTGACAGGTTTTGGATGTAAAATCAGAAATGGACTATTTCACTGTTTATGGCCAGCGCAGATGACCTGTGTCGATAATTGAGGCCCTATTTTAGTTGGACTTCTATCACATACATACGAACAAATACAGATAAAGACAGCCAGCATAGCAGCAGTCTCTGCATCAGTAGGCCTCAACACACACAAGGGAAAAACCAAGGTCATCAAATACAATCCAGTCACACTTGAAGGCGAAACTCTGGAAGATGTGGAATCCTTCACATACCTGGGAAGCATCGTCGATGAACAAGGAGGTTTAGATGCAGACGTAAAGACGAGGATTGGCAAAGCAAGGGACGCATTTCTTCAATTAAAGAACACATGGAACTCAAAACAACTTTCAACCAATATCAAAGTCAGAATCTTCAATACGAACGTCAAAGCACACAATTATCTGAATTCATTCAATTGTTCTGATCCGAGCAAGTGACAAAAACCTCAGCGGCACCAAGGACCCTGGAATTAATTACCATACTGCATGTTTTATTCTGGATGCTTTTGGATCATTACTTCTCACGAATGGCGTCTACTAAATAATCCAATTTTCAAAAATAATCCAGGCGAGTTTAACTATTTTACTGGATGTTTTTTCGTACTTGATATGTGTATATTTTCCAGTTCTTTTTGCTACATATTTGTAAGTGCCACTATGCTAAATACAGTAACCTCTTATGGGAAGTTTATAACGCATCATAATCCTGCCGGAAGTTTCATAAGCAGTTTTAACTTAAAAATTATTTTTCTGGCAATGTTTACTATTTTTTAAATTGTCATATAAATCAATAACCTGCATGTTAAACAACCCCGTAAATGCGTTGCATTATA